GTCCTCAAGTGCCCAGGTGGAAACTGGGCATGAGAGGATTTGCATAACAGCTGAGGAATCCTGAATTTAGGGAACCCAGACTTTTTACAGTGGATCGTAAGCAAATCTGTCTTCTGCCTTGGAGAGAGACTTGTTTTACTAAACAGTAAGCAAATCTGCCCTTTGCTCCAGAGACAGACACTGTGTCTTTCAAAGGTGATCACTAAACAGACATTCTTGGAAGATATGTAGATATGAAAGAAACCTATGGAGAATTCTCTCTCAACTAAGGGTTGAACTTATTTCCACTTCCACTAATGGAACATGAGCATGCCCACTTCTATACACCTTCACCAAACACTGGATGATACAGATTTTTTTTTTACATTTCATAATCTAATGGAAAGCTAAGAATTTTTCTCCTTGTTGTAATTTACAGTTACATAACTAGCGAGCTAAGTGAGCATCTTTTCATGTTGACATGAATTGGTTGTAAATTGCCTTTTCTTATTTTTTTTTTTGTCCCTTAATGATTTATTTTCTTATAACTTATAAAAGCTTTTTATATTTTCTAGATATTAATCCTTTTCCTGATTTTTATGGAACAATCTTATTCTTCCAACCTATCTCTTGTTTCTTTTAGTTTTATTTGCAGTGGCTTCCTTTGTACAGATACTTTAAATTTATATATGGTCTATTCTGTGAAACTATTTGAGGAGCAATATAGAATTTTGTAGGTCTTGGTAGTTAAAAAGCATTTGGAGGTTAAATATGATATAAGTGTATTGTCTAATTTTTGTTTCAAATCTTTTGAATTTATTTAGGTTTCCTTCTAACTAGTTTTTTTTTTTTTAAGATAGTGAATATCCTCTTTAAAAACATCAAAATACATGATGCCAGAATAAGAATCAATAATGTTAACTATCGTATTCCAAACTAGGGGTTCTGTCACAATTCACAGTAAACATTAGAGCATTAAAGACTCAGAAGTTCTGTAGAAGAAAAAATATTTAGTTTGGTTTCACTCCACATAGTCAAAACTTTGTTGGCCTGAAGAACTTTTAAAGATTCTGTAGAGTATCTTATAACAGTTTGTGGGATGCTGTTGTTCCATGGGGGTACTGAGAGGCAGTCATATCTAATGGTTAGAACCAGCAGCCTTAAATCAAAGTGCTCTGAGTTACTAAATGGGTAACTTTGGATATGTTAATTCTCTACACCTCAATTTTGTCATCTCTATAATGGGGGTGTTACAGTTCATTTTATGAGAGGGTCATAAGGATTAGTTGCATTTGTAAGTGTTGGCTGTTAAGATTGTGGAACATTCTGAAGATGCTGCTCATGGAATGTTACTATAAAGCTGATAAAAGCTGATGGTATTGTTAGTTGTCCTTTGTATTATTGTTCAGAGAATCAATACTATTGTAATTTTCTTTAAAAAAATTCAACTACTAAACTCTTGTGGCATGTGCCACACAGAGTTGCCCATGTGAGAAGAAACTGCTCTATCAAAAAATCAATCCCTGCAGTTCCATAGCATCTGTCCTTGAGTCTTTCAGCATAGCGAAAGAACTATTTATTTCTCTCCCCACAGTATCTTTATCTCTATGGCAGCTCTTACCTTTTGGCAGTTATGCAGATTCTTGTCTGCTTATCTATTTGAAAGGCACCCCCAAGAGAATTTTGCAATATTCTCTTTAGCTTGTATTCTAAGCCTCCTAAACATTCCTTTAAGTGTGCCAAAAATCTACCTGTTGCGTTGTCACACAGTAACAGACAAGGAAGAAATTAATTTTATTCTTACTAATTTCATCCTAAGCACTTCTAGAAATGTTTCATTTTTAAAGCTGCATTTCAAGTACCCCTTCATGAGATATATTTAGATATACCCTCTCTTTGATTAAAATATCAACCCCTATTATTTTAAGTGTCTATTACTATTCAAAACAAAAGCTTTTTAAAAAGCTTGTGACTCTGTGTGATCATTTGAGAATTTTTGATTATTGCATCTTTTGTGATGCTCAGAGTTAGTGACCTGTCCAAAGCTATCTATGCTGAAAGGCAGTAGAATGGTGTACAAACCATCTTGCCATCTTTTTAACTATTTAGGCTCAGTTTGGCAAGGCTACTAGACAAAGGGACAAATCCACATCTATAGTATTTAAGGAGAGATACCTGTTTAAGTGAAAGTATTAAAGAATAAAGTAAAACTGAGTTTCTTCCTTTAAATATGATCAGTGTTCACTGGGTACATTTAACTAAAATAATGAGAATTGACTCTAGATAAAATGTACTCATTATTTTTACTCATCCGTTTTTCACTTGATTAAAGTGTGTGTGTAGTGGGTACGGGATTCTCTAGGAGGTTCCTATGAACTAGCTGAAAACAAGCATCAAAAATGGTACATACTTAGGTGAATTCATCACAACCCAGATGCTGGTCCTCGAAATGCTCAGAAATTTGATTCAGTCAGCATACAGAGAACAGATAAGACACAGGTTCAAACTAAACCACATATAGAGAGTTTCACTGACAGGACCTGGAATTCACTCCCTGAAGAGAAAGCTTCATGGAAAGCCAACTTATAATCAAGAGTTGTCCAGGAGGAAGTGAAATTCAAGCAAGAGGAAATAGTTGTATGATTTGCGTGATTAATGTCATGAAGATTTGCTAGACTCAGGCCCCATCACCCAAGTGGAAGGTGTGCTACAGGGAATAAACGGGTTATTTTCATTTTGAGGCCTGAGTGTTTCTCTTCTGGTTAGAGTCTGGATGGAAATCATTGTCATCGAGCTCCTTAGATCTCTTTTATCTATGCCCAGACTCACTGTCTCCTCTTCTCTACCCTGTATTATTCCAGGAGTACTGTTTTATCATCAGTTAGAGTCCATCTTACAAATTATAATCACAGTCTAGTCCTGCCTCCTGGAGGAAGCATCCTGTTTTTCTTGATAAGGTTTTGGCTGCTTCTGATCTCCTTGGCCACTTATTTACAAATCAACTCTAGCAGTTCTGGTACAGATGAGCAAAAATCCATTTAGGGCTATTTTTGTTAAACTCTCACAGGGTAATTTTGTTTCTTTTATATCTTTGCTTGATTTCCCATCTTCTCTGTCACATTTGCTACCCCCATGGTATTACTACCTCCTTTTATTCTCCTTACAGGGCAGACCTTTGGATTTTTAGAGGGCCAACTTACATTTACAGCCCAAGGCCAGGATGACTGGAAGCTTCAGTCAAGTATTTTTCTGGCTCCTAATCTCTTGAATAATTTCTAAATACATCTCTATAAAATAGGACATTCTAAATTTGATGTTTCAAATATAAAATATGTCTTAAGTAAACCTGACTGTAATGATAACATGCTCATTTATTAAGTTACCAAGTGGTTTTCCCATATCAGCATGAAACGCGATGAGACACACAGGGATGAAAAAATCTGTTGTGTTCTTTATCTGAGGAGACCACAGTTGACAGTGATGTAAAAACCAAACCCTTAACCCCTCTGAAGAATCCCTTTTGTTTTTCATCTTGTTGCTTCCTGTTCATGTCAACCTTAGGGTCCTTGATCCCTTCTGCCTCTAGGACTTTGGAGATGGAGAAAAAGCCTGAAGTAAATCTAGAAAGTCTGGACTAACCAGGGCATTTTTCTCAGAGGGAGCTCACTGTTGGTCTATAGGAAACAGTTTAATTTTGAGTCATTTTAGCAAAGTTCTGGTTTGGTGTATAATGTATAATGTATAGAGCAGACACATAGGGACTTTGGAAAGTTTGAGGCTCTTGACAAGATCCTATGCTTTCAGATTTCCTGAGATTTTAAAGTTAGCTTAACCTTATGGTTACTGGGAAGCCCCAAAACAGCTTCTAAGTAAGTATCTAGTTATGCTTAGAAACCTGGATAGAACCAAGCAAACCAAGTGTAACTTGCAAATAGATTGTAGTTTATAGACCTAGAAGGAAGCTGAGGGACAGTGTCATGGGATGTTGCTAAATCACAAAACCTGATAGATCACTCTAAGAGTCATTATTCTTAAGGGGATGTACAGAGAGAATCCAGGTACAAAGCCAATGAAAGAATGTGCTCAAGAGTTAAGATGAGGCGCAGGGCCCGGTGAGCTTCTGATGTTGACAAGGGGGTATTTTTAGAACATCTATTTTGCAGTATATATTACATACCTAGAACAATTCACAAACAACCATTTAAATCATGAGATATAAACCCCCATCTTGAGAATAAAACATTACTCGATACAGTTGAAGTTCCTGTGTTCTATAAGCACATCTCTCTGAATTTCTGTGTTTATACTACAAATATATGCATTCCTTAATTAGATACAATGTTTAAGTTATTTCCTTCATATATATGTGTGTGTGTGT